GGCTAGTAGCGAGAGGAGATATGCAGCGAGTACATGTAGATTGTGGAGAGACGTATGCACCGACTGTAGCGGTTTCTAGCGTTCGCTTGTTGGCAGCGATGGCGTGTGAGCAAAATCTTTCTCTCCGTCTGCATGGCGGATACGTGTGTGTTTCGGTTGATTGAGGAGAGAAGAGTGGTAGTGACTCTGGTGGTACATGTAGATGATATATTTTCGATAGGAGAGGAGGAGAGGTGTGACCAGTTTGGCAGGGACCTCAACACCATGGTACCTGTGAAGAATCTTGGGGACTTGAGGTGGTACTCTGGATGTTTTTATGAGAGGGATTGGGATGCAGGGACTTTGAAGTTCTCGCAGCAGACGTACGCTGAAGACTTGGGGATGGAGTTTGGGGTAGAGCACGGGTAGGAAATTCCTCGTCCTGTAGGGTTGAAGCTTTCAGATTTTGACCAGGATGAGGAAGTGGTATCATGGCCTTTTCGTGAGCTGATAGGATCATTGATGTGGCTGGCAACGCAAACGAGGCCAGATATCGCGAATGCAGTAAGAGCGGTAGCACGGTACTGTGCCTCACCCAAAAAAATTCATTGGAGAGCAGGGCTTGGTATTTTAGGGTATGTGGTACGGACTAGTGACTTGGGTATTACATTCAGGAGGGGTAGTGTAGCAGGGGTAAGCATGGACGTGTTTGCAGACGCAGACTATGCAAGTAAGGCTGCCGATAGGAGGTCTGTGTCAGGGGGATTGGTAAGTTCACTGAAGTTCGAAGAAGTATAACTGGTATGATCGGGGATGGTTATTGATGTCTAGCCAGTGAGGCTATTGTTCTGGAGTTGAATTGAGTTTCTGTTTTTATATTGATTTTCTTGTGTTTTGGAGTTATTTAGGATCGAAAAAGACATGGCATGGTCACAAGCAGGGGGGCTGATAGATATACTTGTAGCAATGCCAAGTGGTTGTGGGATTGTGTGGTACGTAGAATGTATTTCCAGGGTGTGCAAGGTACCCCTGTTGTATACTGCGTCGCCCCCTCATGGTGGTGCGTGCACGCGTGCGTTCAGTTCGTGTGAGTTCATGTGAGTTCATGTAAAGGAGAAGTTTATGCAACAAACCCTACACGTCTTTCCTCCTTGGCGCGAGTTCGCCGAGTTGCCGACACCCTATTCAACACACGTCTTGCGACAAGCTACCCCCAGTTCGGATCATCCTAACACTTGTTGCAATGCATGTACATACATATATACAGTCACAAATAAAAAGTGGTAGTCCATACCTTGGCGCGACGTACATTCAAAGGGCGCGGGAGTGGAGGAGTGGAGGATGCACCACAACGGCATTCTCTTCAGTGACACATCGTGCAGCACGTCTCAGCTACATAGCGCAGTTCCTTCCGCTACTGGGATAATGTCAGCGGCGATACATCACTGTCGATTAGCAGATAAATGACTCTTTTTCGGTGGGTGCGTGCGTATTCGGAAACTGTTTTCTACATGTAGCAACGCGTTCGTCCCGTCTGTACTGGGTGCCTCATTTCGGTATGTGTTTGACGCACGAGCCGGGTCACACAGGAGGATATAGTCTATACCCTTTTGAACTGTCCTGCACGAGTATGGTATTTCTTTTGTTTCCTCCGTGTATCTCTTACTGTACAATTAATGATCCGCTGAACTACAACAGCGAAGAAGGTACCTAGGTCTATTCGACGGGAGCTTCTTTCACGAACGTCCCTACTTCTTCTTGTATCGCCGTCAACCGTACGACAACCTGTCGGGCGGACGGTCTTCGCTCGGGATCATCCAGCCACATTCGTTCGACAACCTGATCGCCAGCAAGGTTTGGACATTACCGGGGGCGAAAAGGAGAAAAAAAGGTAATGTTGTCGAAAGAGAGCCTTTCTTGGTGGGTTGTACGAGTTTCCTTGCCTAGACCAAGCTATCATGCACGTGTAGCGTAGTCTACCAGCCCGTTGATCTAGGAGAGAGAGTACTTCCCGCACTCACACACGACGGAAAAATGAGAGACGGCATGAAAGCGAGCAAAAATTGTGACGCAGCTGACCTTCAACAAATGCCGGAGGCATGAGAGCTGCTCAAACTTATTATTACAGCCAAGTTGTTTGCGGGGAGAGCAGTGCACACCAGAAAGAAACAACAAACAAAAAAGATACAAACGGGGCCGAAACGAACGTTGCAAGTAGAAGCCTCCCTAGACACGTGGAATCAACTTTGCAAGTAGAAACCTCGCTAGACACGTAAAATTCTCAACATCTGATACGTACCGCTTCTGTCTTTAATCCCGACAATAGCGTCAACCTCGCACTACTTGGGGCGTAGTACGTCATGATGCCAGTCGAGTTGTGTACCACGAAGAAGGTCACTGTTACACCAACCCCCGGGCACGGTTGAGATTTTTTTTTTGGTCACCCGTCATTGGAATCTGTCGTCTGCCCCTCTGGCCCCTGTCCTCCACTTCTACCAGCTAGACGACCCAACCGGGTTCACATAGGAGGGGGGGGGTTGGACCACCTCCTGCGGTTACTGCCTGAGATATTTATCGCGAGAAGGGTGCAACAATCCCTTCCCTCGCGACATATGAAGTCGATCAAGTTTTCTGACAACGAGCTTCGCAGCGCGTCACTTCACGCCAGGATTTAATTGGCGAGAAAATACTCTCTCTGTCGGGACTCCAACCCATGACCTGACCCTTAGCAGGCTGCGAAGCTGCCCACTAGACCACCGGGGCGACCGGTATAAGGTGTTAACAGCTTGTTATCTGTACATCAACTATGTTCATTGTCTTGTCTTGCTCCAAAAACCCCGATCCGTTTTGGATGGGTACCAACTGACCTGCTGCAATGATTCCCCTAGCCCATGCTGTCACTGCGGAAATCGACTGCGAGTACTACAAGGACTGAAGAAGGTACTGGATACAGAGTTCGGAACGGTTCCTAACGTGAAGACAACAACAACAACAATGCAGAGAGGTTTGCTGTTCTTTTGGTTTCGAAGTTTGTTTCGTTTCTTCATATGCAAAGCTTCAGAACGCCGTGCCAGACCACCCTTATGTAGAACTACATGTGCAGTACGTCCACTGACCTCCATGTACCCTCTGTGCCACGAAGGGTCTACCTCGGGCTTTGAACCGTGCGAGACCGCCGTCTTCAAGGCCTCCGGGGTGTCGTACGGATTTCGTCCGGCTATCAACGAGTAGAAGATCATTCCCATGCTGTAGATGTCTGCTTTTTCTGTCAGGGGCTGGCATGGGAGTTGAGTTGAACGCAATCCGCGAAAGAGAGGGCGGGGGAGAAACTGTGTCACTATTTTCAAAACTGTCGCTTCTACAGTTTTTAGAGGGTTCTTAATAAGTTCGCCCTTTTGACGTTTATTCGGGAAATCGCAGAGATGACTCAACCTCATCCACCCAAGAAATGCATCCAATACATTCGATGGTGAAACTAAAGGGCTATGATAGACGTCCTTTTCCCGACAAGAGAGCTGGTGTTGTTTGCTTCTGAACGAGCCATCTGCGGCCAAAACAAGAAACAGCCGGGTCGCATTCTGTACCTTTCCAGCGTAGTTTTCGGGGGGTCGCCAGGGTATTAGCTGGGCTGGTGTCCCTCCATGCACGGCGCAAAACTCCTCGTCAGGGCCGGGGCTTCTACCCATGAGCTTGAGTGCGTTGAAGTCGTTGACCACGGCAGTCCCATCATCGTCGATGAGCAGTTGCTGTGGCTTCATATCAAAGTGAATACCGCCCACGATCTCGTGCAAAGCCTGCGGCCAAAGAGCATGAGAGACAGGAATGAAGTGGAGCATTTGTTGCTCGATGGGGCGCTCGTTTGCGTGTCTTCTGCTGATTCGAGATCAAAGCGGCCTAGACGATCCCATGAGTCCTGTAGTTATTCGCTTTGACAAACAGCACTGCGTGATAATGTGGGTTCAATCACCTGGCCTACAGGTTCGTCGTGGTGAACAAGTGCACGGTCAGTTTTCTGGGTAAATCGAGCAGGGTTGGGCCAGCAGTAGCGACAAAATCGCAGTACAGCGTAACAACACCAGGAAATGATTGTTATTCCTTCATTGTTTTCGTGGACGCACAACCTGGGCAATACGCGAGGTTTTAGAGAATGTTTTTTTCGAAGCGATTCCCGCACGAGTCATTCGATGTTTTATTGTTGGATACCACGAGGTTGAGTAAGTGATAGATTCAAGTAGCAGAAATTTCGTCTTCATTGTACGCGTGCCGTCCAAGCCCGGCTCTTCTTCTGATATGTCGCACCAAAATTATGAAGTATGTTGTCTATTCTTGCCAACCTCCGTCGCAGTTTTCTTGTACTCAAGTCTAGACGGTGAGATTGCCAAGATGCTATTCATTTCACTCCTCGTAATGTGAATTTCACTGTCGTATTCGGAGGTATGCATTGCCATTTGAAGGTGCGTTTTAACATGGTTGTTTGGTGTAGTCAAGTCACATATTTTGTTATGTATGATATCATGCAATATTCAGGCTTTATGCCGATCAGGTGCTGTTCTGTTCAGTGTGCGCTTGGGCTTAGTGTTTGTTCGATTCCGGCTGAAGGTGTACATGAAAGGCGATAGGAGAGCATATCAAGGAGAGAACAACGGAAAGCAGCAACAACCTGCATCGGTGATAGGAAAAGTTCCACACAGCTTCGAGATGATTGTTGTCAAGAGGTGCAAATCACATGACCCCAGTGAGATTTGTACCTCTCCACAATAACCCCCTCGAAGCTGTGTAGACCTTATTCGCCCACAGATGCAGGTTATGGCTGCTTTCCAATATACCAAGTCCAACCGCACACTGGACAGAAGGGCACCTGACTTGGTATGACACCTGAGACTTGTTTGACACCGTAGCACAACATACATGTGATAACGCCAAATGACCATTTGGTCTTGTAACGAAGCATCCCATGGCTACCTCCACGTACCATTGCTACAGTTGTTCTTCCCACGCACTCCGCACTCGGCTTGCAGCACGTCTGGTAGCCCGAGCTGGTCCTGAATCCCCTGATGGCACTACTCAACATGCTGTCTCGTTGCCCATGGGGTATGTCTTACCTGCAGTCCTTTTGCAGCTCCCAGCGCGAGGGACACGACCTGGCGAATTGGCATCGGTGCCCCCCGTCGCCTGATTGATCCTTTGAAGTCTTCCTTGAAGAACTTTGTCACCACTGTAGTGCCGCACACACCGAGCATGTCGACGATGTTCGGGTGTCCTTTCAACTGCAGCAGCAGTTGATTCGGACGGGCAAGAACTGGAAGACTTACCTAGGCATGAGTACTTCAGCCTATTCGGGAGTTCGCAGATAGACCGCTTTAGATACGTCCGATTTTGAGCACCCTCGACGCTCGCAGTGTGAAGAACTGCTTCATGAAGTGTGACGACGTGGAAACAATGTTAGCCACACCTCTAGCGCAAACAAGACACGGATGCCATTTGCCATGGATCAACTGCATCGACTGCGCTTAGGAACGTGAGTTCCTATTCGATCGCGCACGGTAGATGCATGCAGTGTCCTATCTATGCATGCCAGCACACGAATCGAAGCGAAAATCCTTGACCCAACGTTGTAGAGGTCATTCTTCTTACCGCATCCATGGTCAGCACTTCTCGTTTATGCATCGTGAGGTACAATTTCTGTTTGCGTAGTTCATCCACGTTCCGGAGAGTCTTCACGACAAGGGCCTGCCCTTCGTACTCCACGAGGTACACGTCACGCACAAGCCCGCTAGCAAGCAGAGCATGTTCGCGCCTGATCATGTTCTGTAAAATCAAAGAATCGGCAGCAAACAGTGTAGCCGTACCGCTACATGAGATAACTCAAGATTAGACATTTTTCATCCACAGCTCACAACAACTGGTAACAAACTCAGAAGGTAACGTCGCAACCCCCTACTGACGTTTCGGACATGGGTTCGCAACTCGGTGCAGTCACACCAACTGCGACGTTTTCTCACTTTGGGCCATGCCAAAAATTGAAAAGTGTAGAGAGCGAGAATTCGGTTTATCCATAACCATTCGACCTCACGGTCGACGAGAGAAAGGAACGGCTGAATGCTTCTCCACGGACAAAAATTGAGGCAAGCACCACAGAAGGTAGGCGGAAAGGTAGCTCCTATTTGGGCTTCCTCCTGTGTGACCCCGTCCTTGAATAAATGGGATGGTATCACAACAAAGCAGCCGAGGACAGCACAAGCCAACACTAGCCTGAAGCTTAAGAGCCGCGGGTACAGCGAGTAGTCTAAGCCTGAAGGCCAAGTAGAGCTCTGAAATGAGATCGCCACTCACAAGAATCCCGAGGTAGGTGCTCTTTCTCCATTATTTATTGACGTCGAGAACGTCAGCATTCAGCTGCAGATGGTTTCAATTAGATCACTTCGCTGTGTTGCATGGAAATGATGAAAATGATAAAAAGTACGGCGGCATAGTCCAAGGGGCATGTTGTCTGTGGCACTAATATTATAGAGTAGTGCAAAGGCCGGATCGGATAACTTTCGTGCTACATCGAAAGCAAGGGGCCAGCAAAAATATTTTTCTGCACAACCTGGGCTTACTTTGTAAATTTGCCCTTGAATTTCTTGTCCTTCCTGGAACGAAGTGATCGCGCCCCCACAAACGCTAAATAAATTTGCATAGCAAATCAAGACAACACTAATGTTGGAATATTTTGGGGCACCGTGTAATATAGGGGGGGTAATGTGCATGTTCTGCGTGCCTCCTAGCCACGAACGCTCGCGACGCATTACCGCTTTACACCGTATAAGGTACACGACGGCAGCCTTCTGTCTATGTTTTTTTGTACAACTACAGGTCGTTGGGTGAAACTCGTTCGATGTGAGCGTGGATGGGAAAAAGAGGGAAGAAAAACCGAGAAACCGAAAACAGGAAACTTGCTTTCTGATTGTATTTTCTGAGTGTGACCCAACGAATCCATCCCTCTCTACATTTACTCAAGAATCTATGGGTTTGTTTGTAATTTGGATTTGTCTGTAATGTTGGGCCGCGGTAGTCAAGCCGGGGTACCTCAAGGTGTGCGGGATAACTATATTTATTCTATTTTCGGGCAACCTTGATTAGATGCATCATTTGCACAGCTTTTGAAGGAGCGATGTCGAATACTTCTTCTCAAGCTGTGCAGCTTGGTGCAACACCATCAACGTGCACGCGCGTCTCCTGTGATTGGTACAGCGAGGAATGAATGCGGAGAGTCACCGCCTCGCAAATATCATGAATTCTAATCTATCATAGACTCTTTTCTTAGAGATGGGTTCGTTGCGTCATATTCAAAAAATAAAAACTATGCTGTATCTACAGCAGCAGAAGTGAGGTGGTGTAGCTTCTTCCTTTGTTTTCTACATACAACAACAGCAGTTATTTCGACCTCATCACCCTGGCGACATTTGGTACACTGGGTGCTCCATCGACGCAACGTGGCAGGCGCATGCTCACATATATCTGTAGTATATTACTGGATATCGTGCAAAGTGTGTGGAATAGCTTACATGTATTTCTTTGCACCCATACTTATATTCTGCCGGGTCCACGATTCTCTCATGCAGTGGGTTTCTCCGGCACTTCTCGCCCATATCGTCCACGTTCACTCCGAGCAGCTCTCTGCGCCCCCTTTTTTTCATGTTGATGTTGGTGCTGCTGGCGTTGCGTGGGGATTGGGCTACCGCAGGGTGTTGGTTTGTTGGTTGTCTTCGTTTGAAGTCCACCGTGAAGGCCCTCTCTTCATCCGAGAAATATGCTGTCTCCGTTGCCTCCGTGGCATTTCCGGGAGAAAGTGCCGAAAAAATACATATATCTACTAGGACGACTAGAGCAGCCGGCAGGTGCATCCCCAGACACACACGAGATTGAACAGGTACGGGCCCTTCTCCTGAAGGCTTCTTGTACCTTGACGACACTAAGTGCTGCCTTCAGGGAGCACCAGCAGCCACCAGTAGTCCTATGCGTGTGTCCAACTTAGACGCTACTCCCATCCAAGCCCTCTGTGGTAGGGTGGCACGACGGTCTGCTCTGTTGTTTGTTGTTGTTGTTTCTCACATTAGCTCTATAGTCCACAAAAAATGGGGAGCCCGTGGTCTCAAAACCCGGCACATACGACGCCGCGAGAAAACAAAAAACAAAAATAGGATACAAACCACTCGGAAAAAGAAAACAAAATGATCGAAAGAAAGAAAAGAACAGGTATCGCACCTACTGTTCGAGAAAAGAGCCCTCGGACACCGATCAAAATAAAACAAAACAAAAATAAAAAAAAAAAAAAATAAAGGAGGACGCTTCCCACACCCGCCGAAAGAAAAAATGAAAGGGTAACGTAACGTACCAGCACCAGGCACTGCGCACCAGGGCATGGGAGTAACGGAGCAAACAGGGCAAAGAGGCGGCAGATGGGCAGACAGCCAGCCGTACAAAAAAACAAAGGCAACAGCAAAGCGAGATCAAGGTACCCAACACAGCAGAGCAGGCAGGGAGGTCATGAAAAAAAAAAAGAAACACAGCACAGAGGCCGAAGGCAATACAAGGACATACATAAAGGAGTATAGCATACGGCAGGGAGGGAAACCGGGCGCAACAACATCAGCCGGGTGCATAGTTCGCCACAAGCGTTGCCTCGGCCGCCCTACTCGCTTCTACAGCAGTGCCCGTTCGCCGTTTCTTCCCCCCCACCGCCGCTTCGCCGGTTCTCTTTCTCTTCGGTCCTGAGATGGTCGTACTCTCTGCTTCTGCTTCCCGCGCGCGCTGGCGCTTCGCGGACGCTTCCGCCTCCTGCCTGTGCCATTTCCTCATGAACCATGCCGCCCCGTCCTCGACCTTATTGTACCACACCTCCGAGTTCTGTGTACACTCCCGTTGAGCCAAGAAAAGTTGGTGCGTACCACCGTACTTTAAGGCCTGGGAGTTCAGGGAAAAAAAAAAACACATGGTTGCCTTGAGACCACGGAAGGCGTCCGCGTCAGTTCGATCATAAGGACACTATTTAGAAGGTATTGAATGGAGACCGGAACGGGTTTTTCATCTGAAGACAAGCACAACAATAACACACCGAAACACTATGCGTCCGAGATCAACAACAACAAAACAACTATGCGTCCGAGATATACCCACCAGATCCACACACAGTCGAACGGGATGTGATGGAGTCTTTCATTGAGTGGAGGAAAACCGGCTAGGTGCTGGACTTATTTCGAGTCTACTTGTTAAAGACTACGAACTGCAGCTCATACACTGATGACATATAGTCTATCATCAGTTAGTTGTTGTTGTTGTTGTTGTTGTTGTTGTTATTTCTCACATTAGCTCTGTAGACAAACAGTCCACAAAAAATGGAGAGCCCGTGGTCTCCAACCCGGCACATACGACGCCGCGGGGAATCAAACAAAATAGAGTGCAAACCACTCGGAACAAGAAAACAAAATGATCCAGGAAAAAAAACAGGTACCGCACCGACTGTTGTTCGAGAAAAGAGCCCTCGGAAATCCATCAAAATAAAATAAAACAAAAACAGTAGTCCAGACTATAAATAACGTAGGATGCTTCCCACACCCGCCTAAAGAAAAAATTCAAAGGGTAACGTACCAGCACCGCCAGGCACTACTACGCACCAGGGCATGATGGTAACGGAGCAAACAGGACAAAGAGGCGGCAGATGGGCCGACAGCTAGATGTTTCAAAATACAAGGGCGACAAACATAAAAAAAGCGAGATCAAGGTACCCAACGCAGCAGAGTAGGCAGGAAGGAAATGAAAAAAAAGAAACACAGCACAGCGGCCGAAGGCAATAATACAATGGACATACAAACACAAAGAAAGGAGAATAGCATACAACAGGGAGGGGAAAGGGGCGCAAAAACATCAGCCGGGTACATAGTTCGCCACAACAAGTGCTGTCTCGGCCGCCCTACTCGCTTCCACAGCAGCAGTGCCCGGTCACCGTTTCTTCCCCCCCACCGCCGCTTCCCCGACTCTCTTTCTCTTCGGTGATACCAGCTGGTTGTCACTAATAGAAGCACAAAAAATGTGAAAAGAAAGGTAATCTACATTTATTTTTCCTATATTTCTCTACTGTGTCAACGACAAAACTATCGGGGAAAATCCCTCCGTCGTGTCGTGTGTTATTAAATACAACCTTCACAGGAAACACGTTGCAGTGTCTTTTGACGGCTTGCTAGTCTTTGGATACGTGGGCGAACTATAATTAGGAAAAATAAGAAAAAGAGTAAACATCCCGTAATTAGGGAAAAAATAATATGGGGTGTTTATTTCAATTATTAATTGTGATTGGGAAGTACATTCACATATTCACACGCAGAAAAATTATTCGAGAAACTTGGTTTGTTATTATTTCTCACATTAGCTTTCTATATAATCTAACCCACGAAAAATGGGTAACCCGTGGTCTCGAAACTCGGCACATACGACGCCACGGGGAAACAAAGGGTACAAACCACTCGGAAAAAGAAAGCAAAATGATAAAAAGAAAAGACTCGTTTTCAAAATCTACAACTTGAATTCTGCCGGCAGTTGTTTTCCCGCCGTTTTCAAATCTGCAAAACCACGTTTGATCCTTTGGGGTTTACGTATCATTGATGCATCACATCAGATCGGTATATATACAGGGTGCATGGTAAGTCGGGCGTATCAGCTCGTTTGTCTGGAATATCACGTTCGTTTCATATTGGCACCTGCGTACCACCTGCATGTAGAGGAACCTACAGACTACTTCCCGTTTTGAGGAAATGGAATCGATCTCACAGATCGATGAAACAGGCAGGCAGGGGGTACGTGCGTGCGTGTGAACACTAACCTAATAGCCCGACGGATTCCCAGTAGTATGCTGCAAGCTTGTGTGCTGTGTGTGTAGACACATGCGTTCGTTGAACACTCCGCGAGAGGTGAGGACCCTACCTGCCGCTTTGTGCTATTTCAAAGGGTATGTATGATAATCCAGCGCGCACAAGCCCACAATCCACAACACATAGTAATAGACTATCTCTACGACGGAGCTTGCTGGAAACGCATCGATTGGTTCGACAGACCACCCCTCCATCTTGTCTCATACATATGCATACAGGGAGCAGCCGTCTTCTGTGGGGGTGTGATACATGCAGCGGCGGGGCGTTGCGCCCTATTCGGCGCGACACCTTGCATTTCTCCGCACTCTGGCCGTTCCCTACCCCATCCGACCTTTTTGTATCCCTCTACTTGTGCGGCTGGCTGAAGCACGGCAACTGCCTCATCTCATCAGCATCCCCCAACACCGTTTAGCCCTAAAGAGTCACTAGCATACCGTACTACTGTAGACCGCAAGACCGTTACACTGAACAAGGGGGAACCCTTGCACATCGCTTGCTGCTGCTTCATGTACCGTATATGACACCACAAGATAAAACACCCCCTTGACCAATTTTCGAAGCTCGATTTCTCAACTGCAGGAGCAGTCACAGCGCCGGAAACGGCGGCGTTGAAACCGTCTCGTCGAGAGCTTTTTGAAAATGTATCGTTTCTTTGAAGCATCCTCTTCGTCATGGAGTAATCGTTCGGGGAGTTCGGGGAGTTCGGGGAGTTCGGGCTAACGGTGTCGGAGAAGAAGACGGAGGCGCTCCTGATGCGCGCAATGACAGGCCGACTACAACATCACAGCCCGCCCCGCCTCCACCACTGACTGACCATCGAAGCCGCGGGACAGAAATACGCCCAGACGACCGAGTTCCGGTACCTCGGTGGCCTCGTCAACGAACATGGCGACCTCACCCGGGAGGTCAACTACAGGAGGAGCAGAGGAGCGTGGGCGTGCCTCAGGCGATATGGCCGGGAGCTCTTCGACACACCGCAAGCGCCATTCCGACTCAAGATAAGCCGCTGCTCCAGGCGGAGGCGATGGAGGCACTGCTGTACGGTTGCATGACATGGTCACCACTCAGCGGCCACTATCAGACGCTGCGGTCGATACACCACCGACTGCTCCTTCAAGTTATCGGGTACAAGCGCAAGAAAGACACCTACCGGCAGCTCTCTTACGCCCAGACGCTGAAGAGGGTCGAATGTCAGAGCGTTGAAGCCACGATCCGACAACGACGCCTACTGTTCGCGGGAGCATTGGCACAAGGCAGCCGGACGGGCGACTCCCGCAACGACTGATGCTCGGCGAACTGGCAGGGGGGAAGAAGCGACGTAGGGGGGAACAGGAACAGAACTGGCCGAAGTGCGTGCTCGACGACCTGAAGGCATTCGGGGCCGACCACGGATCTACGAAAACCGATCCATGTTGTTACGGAATCCCGGTACCGAAAGACACGGCACCGACTTNTGAAGCCACGATCCGACAACGACGCCTACTGTTCGCGGGAGCATTGGCACAAGGCAGCCGGACGGGCGACTCCCGCAACGACTGATGCTCGGCGAACTGGCAGGGGGGAAGAAGCGACGTAGGGGGGAACAGGAACAGAACTGGCCGAAGTGCGTGCTCGACGACCTGAAGGCATTCGGGGCCGACCACGGATCTACGAAAACCGATCCATGTTGTTTCGGAATCCCGGTACCGAAAGACACGGCACCGACGTTAAAGTGGACGGAAGCCGCGAAGGTAGACGGGGGAGTACCCTGGCATGCGGCGGTGCTGCAGGCAGCTGAGAGGTTCATGACCGCCTGGCGCGAGAAGGAAGAAGAGGCCAGCCGACAACGGGCGCTCAAACGAACCACAAGTCACCAACCAATGGGGCGGGAGGGGGGTAGGAGACGGACGAGACGGCGACGGAAAAAAGCAAACGGGATAGACGGACCGAGTGGCGCGATACGTGCCGGATTGAATTTCTTCTAGCCAATTCTCCCCCCCCAACGCTGGCCATCGGTGATCGGTCCTGTGGGAACAATGCTCCGTCCTCTCGAGGACGCGTGGTCAATGGTCTGACCGCTAAGACACGCAAAACATAAGAGNTCTCACGGCGCTTCGCGCTTGGTGATGTGAGAGCCTGGTCCGGTGAGAACCCGGCGTGCTCCGTCCCGGCTTTGTAGGGATGCGAGGTCAATGGTCTA